ATTTGGTTTTTGAGTAAATTTTAGATTGTTAATGTAGTTTATTTTTTTTTAAATAGTAATAAGATGTATAATTATATTTTTTAATATGTTTGTCTAGAAGAGAGTTAAAGGATGTTATAGAATTGTTAACTTAATAGTGATATAATGTAAGACAGAGTATACTTATTGTATTGTTAACCCTGTGATTGGCTCTGGGAAGTCGGGGGGGAGGGAGGGGGGTGGGGAAGGGTGGGTCTTGGGGAGGAGGGGAGTTATATTGTAAAACTTTTAAAAATTTTCAATAAAAAAAAAAAGAGCAGATCTTACCAATCTGCCTTCTCCAGTAAATTTTCCAGCAGCCCAAATGGCTAAAATGTTTCAGTCGTATTTACTGGGAAATTCTGGGAGCTGAATGTCTTAAGGAACACCTGGTTTGGGGAAGGCTCCATAAATGCATCCATATCTTGAAGCAGGATGGGGGCAAGCATGCAACCTTCTTTCCACCCTCTTGCCAAGTTTGACCTTTTCCTGAAGATTGTAGAAGTTGACCAGGCTGAGCCCGAGGGAGGGTTCAAATGCGTCGTAAGTCATGAGTCCTTGCGCACCCACAAGAGATCTAAATCCAACCCGCCTTGAATACCTTCTTAATTCCCGCTCATTTCCCTTAACCATTAGTAGCTCAGATTCTTGCAGAGAGCTTAAGCTTGTAATAAATCTTTATACTCATTTGAACTGCCTGAATCTCCTGATTTCCCTAGCCTAGCGCTTGACATAGATGGTCCTGGGCCATTTCCACAAAACACACAATATATACTCACTACTATCAGACACTGGGTGACATGTCCAGTTCTGGCGCTGGTTTTCTATCAGACATTCATACCAGATGTTCACTGTTTCTCTATCAGGCAGAACCCACCATGACTAGAACAAAAAAAAAAGCAAAGACAAGGAGTTAGGACAGAAAAGATGATGCCGAAGAGGGTTACCTTTCCAAATAGGTGAATGAAGGTTAATAAACTGGCTCCAACCCATAACTAGTTGCGGAGTCCAAATAAAATCTTGTTTCCACCATGCCCTTTGAAACACCAGTAATTTTACAGTAGATGAGTCTTTATTGAGCAGAGGGTTGAGTGTGCTACTTCGAAAACAATAGCCAACAACAGTTGTAATAACTGCAGCTTGGCAAGATGGCAGGATGGATAGATGGATGTAGATAATAGAATAGAATAGAATAGAATAGAATAGAATAGAATAGAATAGAATAGAATAGAATAGAGCTGGAAGGGACCTTGGAGGTCTTCTAGTCCAGCCCCCTGCTCAAGCAGACAAATGGTTGTCCTCTTCTTAAATACCTCCACTGATGGGGCACCCACAACTTCTCAAGGCAAGCCTGGTTTATTGGTTTATTGTTCTCACTGTTGGGAAATTTTTCCTTAACTCCAGGTTGCTTCTATAGATAGATAGGCAGAATGAATGAATGAATGAATGAATCCTTGAAATTGAACTGCACATTATATAGGTAGTCCTTGAACTTATGACTGGTCTCTTAGCTACCAATCGAAGGTCAAATAGACCTACCTTGAGGCTACTTATGACCTGGATTCAAAATTCTGACCGTCGCCTCCTCACAGCTATATGACCAAACCTCGGGCACTCAGCAACACAGGTGCATTTACGGACATTTGCATTTTCTATGGTCACATGACTGCCTTTTAGAACCATTTTGCCCAAAATCAGCACTTCTGGTTTTATAGAAAATCATCAGTTCACTTAACGACCATGGTGATTCGCTTAATGACCACTGTAAAAAAGGTTGTAAAATGGAGTCGGTCATGTGAAAGACCCATTTTATGACGGTCACAACTTACAACCATGATGGGCAAGCTTCATGACGGTTATAATTGAGGAGTACCTGTACTGTAATTGTAAAATTTGTTTCCCCATCCTGTGGAATCAGGGAGGCAAAATTTACTCAAGGGAACAAGAAGCATTTGAAAACATTCTGACTTTCCAAAATATTTTTCCACAGCTTTTTCTCTTCAAGTTTTTCTTCTCTAATTGGTTTTATGTGCAGTCTGGTAGTGACAGAGCCAAGCCCTGGAGGCTGCCACACATTCTTGAATCTCTCTCTCTCCCCCTATAACTTCTCCGAATGTCTCTCTTCTCAATTCTTCTTTCCTGGTGTGGGGCCACTCTGTCCCCCACCCTTTCTCTGTTCTTTCATTTCCTTCTCTTAGTGGACAGTGGAACTTCTGGTTTTTTTTAAAGATGTCATATACAGGTAATCCTTGACTTACAACTATTCCTTTAGTGACCATTCGAAGTTACAACGGCATTGAAAAAACTGACTTATGACCCACACAGCATCCCTTGTACAATAGGAGCACAAGAGTGTGAGAACACCGAGACTGCCCCTTCTTCTCCAGTTATCTTTTTGGTGAGACACAGGCAGAAATCCAACAGGTGACTCTTCTTCTTTTTCCCCGTGGCCAGGAGGGAAGGGAAAACAATTACAGGCAGTCCTCGACTTACAAACATTTGTTTAGTGATCATTCGAAGTACTGAAAAAAGGGACTTACAATCTTTTTTCACACTTACGACTGTTACAGTATTCCCATGGTCACATGATCAAACTTTGAACACTTGGCAGCTGGCAAGTGTTTATGACGGTTGCAGTGTCTGGGGGTCGTGTGATCCCCTTTTGTGACCTTCTGACAAGCAAAGTCAATGGAGAAGCCATAATCATTCAACAATTGTATTACTAACTTAACAACTGCAGTGATTCACTTAACAACTGTTGCAAGAAAGGTCATAAAACGGGACAAAACTCACTTAACAACTGTCTTGCTTAGCCATGGAAATTTGGGGCTCAATTGTGGCCATAAGGCGAGGACTACCTGTATTTAGGTCTCCTGAGGGTGTAACTAGTGGCAACCCTAATCTACGGTACTACTAAAAAGCCAAGTTTGGGGAACAGCAAAAGGGAAGAGTTTCAGGGGGAGAAAACAAAAGGAGAAAACAAATTACTTTCACCCCAAGTGACACAACAGAGGACACAATGTAATGTATCCAGCAAATGTCACAAACACAAACTAATATTTTAAGGCAGGGTTTCTCAACCTTGTAATTTTAAGATGCGTGGACTTCAACTCCCAGAATTCCCCAGCCAGCATTGGTGGCTGGGGAATTCTGGGAGTTGAAGTTCACCCATCTTCAAGTTGCCAAAGTTGAAAAACACTGTCTGGAGGAATTCAGCTGTGTGGGTAATTTTGGCTTATTTTGTTTTGTTGGAAAAGTACAGATTCCTCATTCAAGATAAAAATATTAATGAGTTAAACAAGTCATATATGCAAATAGTTCAAAATGGAAACAGGATTCATGGTTGTAACCCAGCCTTTTCCTGTGTTAACAGGCATGCTTTTGTGATTTTTTAAATCAACAAACTACTAGTCCTGAAGGATTTGTCAGAGATTCCTGAAGCAAGGAAAGAGACACAGATTTGTCTGCTCAAGAGAGTTATCTGTCTCTTTCCCCAGCAGAGGTTCAAAATGCAGCCACTGACAATTCACCATTCAAAACAGACATACACACACACACACACAAAAGCCATCTTAAATCGGAGGGGGTTAATATCAATAATCTTCCCCAAACTAGTTGTCAGACTAACAAAATATGAGGATAGAGACGTTTTCTTTGGGATCAGTATAAAGCAGAATAGAACAATCTTTCTTTTATTTAAAGAAATATGTTTTAAATTTAAAGGAGGGGAAAAAAGAAATATACAGTACTTCAAAAAACAATGCTAAAAAAATTGAGCTCATAAATGTTTTTCAGGCTGTATCATATTCCCAGTCAGAGTTGTTAGTTGGCATTTGTTTCCCAAATGCATTTTTGTTTACCATTTAAGAGGGCTCTCCCAAAACATAAAACATGTGCAAATAAGTGTGTTTACAGATGTGTAAATATATTCTTCTTTTGGGGAGAAACAAACACCAATTAGAAATGCAAGGAGCAAGAAGAATTTCAGGCAGAAATGTAATGTCATTGGGGATTCTTTGAAGTGTCTATGGCCTTCTCTTAGGCTCTGCTCTTGACATCTGAGGAGCAATTATCTTGAATAAAAAAATGTGGCTGGCATTTTCAAGGGATTCTCTTCCGATCAGTTTATTTGAATTCCTCACAAGATATTTAACTTGTGAATAAATCTTATTATTCTTAATAGAGAGATGAATAAATGTGTAGAAGCCAAGATCATCTGGGGCACATCTGAATATCCTTCAACTGTCCTTTAGCTTTGGCTCAAAGTCTTTGGCTAACCAATCTTGAAGAAAACAACCAAATGACATAGCCTTCCTCTCATCCTTAGCCTTCAACCAAAGCAGATCAATTTCTTATTTTTCTGAACTGAAAACTGAAGTAGTGTTTTCCATCTTCTCTTGACACCAGGCTTGCTACGACATAACTGTGGTGGTTTGATGGTGACCAAGCTTATAATGCAAAAAGTGTGAAATCAAGACAATTACCTCACTATGTCCTTCGTTTTTATCTATTTTTTCAGCAACAGATAGTGATGATGGGTAGAAGTAAGTTGTTCAGCATTTTTTTCCTTAATTCCAACCCACATTACTGTATGTGTAAGACCTTCATCCTCGCAGCAAACATTTTATCTCCTGAATAAACAGATGATGAGCACATACTAAAATATATAAGGAGGTTAGAATGGCTTGCTGATGTAGGAGAAGAGGCAGAACCTGGGGGGAGGTGGAGTCAAGGAAGCAATCATCCTGGAGTCCTTACGTTCTCACAAGTGTTCCAAATCCAGCCCCCCCCCAATGAACTCTGTTGACTCTTATCTAGCACCAATTTAGTGCTGATCATTAGTTGACTAGATTCTTGTATGTAGGCATGAGCAATAAATCAGCTTAACTGCAACTTAATATGTGGTCCTGATTCTTCATGCCTGATAGTTATGTTTTTTTCTTTCAAGTGAAATGTTGAGAAAAATTATTTACTATCCTTGATTAAAACCTGGTACCTCATCAAAGAGTCAGAGGAAATTGTCTCTAGAGTCAAGCTTACTAAATCATGAAGCACCCCTTGTGAAGTCCAGATGGCTGGACAGTTCTGGGAATTGTAGCATAACAGTACTAGGCACAGAAGGGTAGGGAATGTAAAATAGCTAAGCAGCTCTCAAACGAAACATTGAACCTGCAGATTAAACACTGGAATATTTCAGTTTTTTCTTACCTTGTCCAAGGTGGCTACGAAGAGTAAGATGAGGATAAGAACGTGGAGGGCTGTGACCGCAAAGAGAAGGAAACTCATCCTGGAAGCTGAATGGAGAGAAGAAAAACATAGATTAAGCTTACTCCTTCCTCGTGGCTGGTTAAAGCAACTAGGAACTACTGTCTTCCCAAGCAACATTAATCCCACTGTGTCTCCTCAAACTGATAAATTCTGCTCTCTCCAGATTCTGCTTTTCAGAAGCTTTCTCTCTATTATCCAGCCATCCCCATATCACTTCCCAAGGATTCACAAATCTCAAATCCAAAGGAAAAAAAATGAAAATGTTCTCCCATTGCCCAGACCTTAGTCAGTTTATTCCAAATCGCCTCAGGATGCTCAGATTTTGAAGCCCTTCCTTAAATGCAACGTATTTCCTCCTTCCTCCTGCCCCGCGTCAGAGAAAGAAGAATCTGGGCTCCTGGAGCTAGTTTAAATTCCTGTGGCTGTAAGCCTGGCTTAATGTGATCCAGATGTTTAAAAATTATGTGAGCTGTGGGCAAGAAGAGGGAGGTAGAAAGGGGTAGCAATTGCCTAGATATGTTGTCGCCCTTTTCAGCCCCTTCAAGACTGCACACGTGCACACACACAAACGGTTTGTTTTCCTCCAAATGGCAAAGAGGGAATCCAGTGTTCCTCAGCCATGGCAACTTTAATACGTGTGAATTTCTACTCTCAGAATTCAGAGAGCGGAAGTCCACAAGTCTCAGAATAATAGAATCACAGGGCTGGAAGGGACCTGCCCATGGCAGGAGATCTTGTATCATCTCAAACAAAGAGTTGTGCAAACTTTTCTTGAAAGCCTCCAGCGATGGAGAACCCACAACTCTTAAAATTGCTAAAGCTGAAAAACATTGTAGTAGGCAGTGCAGAGCAGAGAAAGGAAATCTGGAGCTGAGTTTATAATTAAGCAATAAATGCAAACATTTTTCTCATCTGATTCTTATTGCTAGCCGCTATTTTTTTCAGTTTGTTTTAGTGCCAAAGTTCCCCTAACAACTATATGGCTTCGCGGATGAGGCACATCATCGCCCGGCCTCCCTCTTCAGGGTGACCCGCTCCCTACTTCAATTGAGGGGGGGGACCCCCTGGCGGGGAAGGCTGAGGAGTTTGCACAATATCTGCATGACAAAGTCGCTCGGATCCGAGAGGGTTTGGACTCCGACTGGGTGGCCCCGGGGGAGGTGACAGGAGCGGGTCTTGAGACTGTTATATGGGAGGAGTTTGACTCTGTGGCTCCTGAGGACGTGGACAGGGTCCTGGGGAGACTGAATGCAACCACATGTTTATTGGATCCGTGTCCCTCCTGGCTGGTACTGGCGGCCCGGGAGGGTACACGAGCCTGGCTTCAGGGAATTATAAACGCTTCTCTAAGGGAGGGTGCCTTCCCCGCGGCCCTTAAGGAGGCGGTGGTGAGGCCCCTCCTTAAGAAGCCTTCCCTGAACCCAGATGTGCTGGCCAACTATCGCCCAGTCTCCAACCTTCGCTTTGTGGCGAAGGTTGTTGAGAGTGTGGTTGCACAGCAGTTCCCTCGGCACCTGGAGGAAACAGTCTATCTGGACCCTCTCCAGTC